GACCTTGGGGGAGATGGGTACCCCTGTTACTATGGGCTTACTAGAATTAAGGAATCTAAGTTTTTTTAAGTTTTAACACTATTACAACTAATTCTTACCCCGCTGCCGTTATGATGCAGAAAGTCTTGGAGACTGCGTTGAAATCGGATAATCTATATAACTTCTGAAAGACTGCAGCAGTTTTGTGTAGATATTTCTTGAACCTGTAATTAAAAACCTTTGAAATATAATGATAACTCAGTATACCTTTTTATTATATTATATTGTATAATATAGTTACATTATTTTATAGTATTTATATAGTATAAATTACATTATTTCGTAGTAAATTGTTACAGTATGTATTGTTTACTTCCAAATTGGCTTAGTGAGCCATACATGGTTAGATATTGAAAATTAGAAAAAGTATTAAGAAGTATATAAAATTGGTAGAACACAAAAATTAACAATATACAAATGAGTGGAAAAATGTTAGAACTATACACAAATGAGTGGAGAAATGTTAGAAGATTAAAACTTGAAGAGGGTGGAGGATAAGAGAAGGATATTTAAGATATAAAAGTACATATAATATTTTCTCCCGACCTTTACAATTGACATTACAAATATTTAGTTATTAATATTTTAGCATGAAGTATCATTGTTTCAATAAACATTTTGGAGGGTAAGAAAAAAAAAAAACATGAAATATCTCTGATCTGGGAGGAAATCAATACTTATGGATTGGGTAGGGACTTCTTCAGGATGTTTGCCAATAGATAAATTCGAGTTGTGATGTTCCCCTACATATGATTCACCAAATAATCACTCTCTTAAATGGTTTATGTGTGAGGGTGGTAATATTAGAAATAAGAGTATAACATAACGTTTAGTTATAAGTAATTCTTATCCCGCAGTATACCAATACCAAATATATACTTTGGTAAAGTTTTCTCCTAAAAACTTTAAACCGCTATAAATCATTTTAAACAAACCGAAAATAACGTCACCATTCTTATGATGATTTGAAAATTTAAACATGCTTGAAACCAAGTTGATTACTATTATTAGGTTTTAAGCATTCCCATATATGTGTGCGTATATATATGGGTTATATATATATATATGTATATTTTTTTTTTTTTTTTAATATAATATTATTTTACTTCTTCTTTCACACAAGTAAAATCAAACAGTTTTTAAAACATATTCATGGTTAATGTCATTGTCTTAATTCATTGGTTTCTATCTACTTTTTTTTTTAATCGAAAATAATTTTTAAAAAATTCATTTAATTTCCATGGAAACATTTGGTTTCCGTTAAATAATATTAGTTTTTAGAAATTATTGTTTATAATTTTTTCGCCACCTTCCATTATCTCCTACTGTTTTACATGTTAAATATTATGTTTTCTAAAATTCTCAGCTTTCCAACGATATATTATACATATATAATCTGACTATTATTTCCATAAATTCGTTTTCAATCTGGGAAAACTATCAAATTTTTTCATCATTTATATTGAGTCTTTTTTCATTACTATTAAAAAAAATCTGGCGCAACACACAACTTTCACTTACCTATCTACTTTATAAAATTTACCTATCTGGGCTATTATAAAATTTTTTAAAGTGCATTTTAAACGGAGCTAAAGCTTAAAGCTTACAGATAACAAGTCTTTAAGACCATTATAATTACAAAATGTCTATTTTAAATATCGACGGTAGGCAATAAAAATCTAGTCACTCCATCTGCTTTTATAAACCACAGAATGACTAACTCCAATTTCAACATTTTTGAGTGATGTCATTTTAGTGATATTTTTAGTTCAAAAAGTTATCTATGCAGACAATGAGGAAGTTGATTCGAGAGGTGGTGATTGCAGTGTTGAAATATAGAACTGAGAATAAAGGTATAAATTTAGGTACTTATTTCTTATAAAAGATTGTTCTCTGTAGATCTGTAGAAAAAAGGTTTTTTTAGTCTCAATAATTAAAAAAGTATATTTATATTAAGTATTCATATTAAGTCTCAATAATTAAAAAAGTATATTTTAAATTTATCCAAATTTTCGCCTCTTCAGAGAAAAAAACTAGAGACCATATCTTTCCTCCTAATTGTCCGATTTTTACGATTTTTTATTTGTTTTTTTAGGAAATTCCATAAACTTTTAAAAAACCATATCTACAAAAAAGTGTATACTTTTTGAGTTATTCGAAATTTAATTTTAACATCCCTCGTAAAAATTTTTTCCAGCTTCTTTTCGTTGAAGTAAGTTATATACATAAATTTAAAGGGTGTCGAGAAAACGACTTTAGCGAAGTTTCATTGAAATCGGTACATTCGTTTAGGCACTACAGTCTATAGCAACGCAGGTTTTTCTGCATTTTTATTTTTTTTTTTCTCCTTTATTAACTTATCAAATTCTTTCAAAAGTTATATGTAGTATTTTTTCGTAACTATGAATAATGCGAAATGGTTAACTTTTTAAAATAAACCATATTAAAGGTACTTTAGAGGAAGACATACATGAACATTGGGCATTTAAGCCCTGTAAAGTGACATCAACGGGGATAAGAGCTAAATTATATTAAAGACCACTTAATTATACAATGATACACCGAGTTCGATCAAAATCGTTAGAGCCGTTTTTGAGAAAATTGTAAAAATGTGTTTCAGCGTTCATATAAAGTGGCTCTTCCGGTAAGCCGATTTTAACGAAAAAGTTGCTGTCACATCCGACCCATATACAAACCTTAAATACTTAATATCAGTTTCGTACTACTTTTCGTTTATGAGCTAGACTGTTAACACACACACACACAGACCATTTTGCGATATTTGGTTATTTGAACTCAGGGGACCTCAAAACATGTATTTCCGTTGAAAACTGAGGTTCGAAAATTTTCACGATCGCAATACTTACCCTTACTATATATTACATATATACGTAAGCGAAAGTAATAAGAGAACGTTATTATTCCGAATAAATCGAATTAAAGGTATTTCAGAGAAAAAACTTCGAAAATTTGGCATTTAAGCTCTATCAGGTGGCATCAATGAGGATAAGACCTATCTTGTATTAAATAACGTTTGATTTCCTGAGTTTAATCAAAATCCTTACGGCCGTTTTTGAGAAAATTGTAAAAATGTGTAATTTATGATATAAAGTGGCTCATCCCGTTAGCCAGTTTTCAGGAAATAGTTGTAACATCCCATGAATTTACCTACTAAGCCATACTTTAAATACGCTATTTCAGTTTCGTGCGACTTTTCATTTTTAAATTAGACTGTTCACCTACACACAGACCATTTTGTTGGACTCGGTCAGTGCCGGCCTTAGACATTCGGCGCCCCCCCCCCGGTAATGACGTCATTCCCCTCCTAAAAAAAATAAACTTATTCCTTAAGCTCTTTTGTATATTGAAATATGTGAATTTTATTCCGTTAAACACTTCTGTACAGTTGCTTTATTGATGGGCTAACATCAATTATTTTAATACGGGTTTATTTTTTTAATTATTTCTATCAAGTGCCTAACGCCCCTGAAGATCGGACGGCGCCTACAACGGACGCCCCGGGCTGGTTGCCTCGGTTGCTCCACCCTAAGTCCGGCACTGGACTTGGTTATTTGGACTCAGGGACCTCAAAACGTACATTTTCGTTGAAAATTCAGATCCAAGAATTTTCAAGATCGCAATACCTTCCTTTATTATATATTACATATTGTGAAAGTAGAACAACTATATTTTCACTTGGACATTTTCTGAAGCTGTTAAAGCTTTGTCGGGATTCTTAATGTCGGTTTACCCGAAACGCCCCATTATTGGAGGTATATTAAAAAAAAAATGTAATAACATCATATAATTAAATCAGTATAAACCATCATAATAATATGAAGAAATCGTTTACACAAGAAATTAATCTGAAAAAAGTGAACGAATAAACCACTCCATATACAAATTCAAAATGCACTGTTAAATGTAATCTCAGGAAACATTTTAATATTTTCCTACAATTAATATAACCCATGATCAGTACATCTCCTTCCTCCCCTCCTCCTCATCCAGCCGAAAGGAAATGTCTGCGCCTGTCACTGTTATTTTAAAAAAATCTGGCTCGCGTAACACACAACTTTCACTTACCGCTCTACTTTGAATAGAAATTATTTTGACAATGTTGGTCAATTATGAAATTGTTGAAGTGCATTTTTAACCAAGATAAAGCTCAAAACTTACAGCTAATAAATCATTAATGCCATTTTTTTTCTCTTGCATAGTAACCCTACGCAGAAGGGGTTTATTTGCATATATAGTATAGTTGTATATATAGTGCATTTTTATACATTTGGATATTATTTTTTCTAAAATTCTCCACTTTCCAACGATATATTTCTTTTTTTTCTTCTTTATTCAATAATCAAATTCTTTCAAAAGTTATATTTACCCTTTTTCCATAACTCCTGACACTGAGAGGTAATTAATTATTTATAATAAAACAAATTAAAAGTATTTTGGAGAAAAATATTTTGAACATTCGGCATTTAAGCCCTGTTAAGCTACATCTATCGGAATAAGACCTGAATGATATTAAAGATTACTTAATTATACATTATCCACCGAATTTAATAAAAATCGTTAAAGCCGTTTTTGAGAAAATCGTAAAAATGTGTAAAATCGATGATATAAAATGGCACTTCCGGTGAGCTGATTTTAATTTCGAACTGAAGCCCTCCGCACCTCCCCTCCAAAATAGAAAAATATAACCATGTCTTATAAAAAAAAATATTTAAAAATTATCTTTAAAAGTATTGTTGTTCGTGTAATTACTTTTGCTAGTTCTTCAAGAATCACTTAAACATCATTTCATATAGATAGTTAGTTTCTTTCTTTAGTAATTTTCGTTATATTTATAAAAAAAAAAACTTTAAGGCTGAAGCCCTCCCCCAAAAAATTAAATCCTGGAGTGGTCAGTTTTGTTATTGTGTTGACTCTGGTAAGGTAACTGTAGTGTTATGTTGTTTACATTCAGGTTAATGCAGGACAGATATCACAGATTTAAGTGTTTGATAAATTTTAAAAGTTCTTTTAAAACCTATGGTTTTGACATCTTTTGAAGTTTTGTATAATTTGAAAGTAAAAATTATTTTTTTACAAAATGAGTTACAAGGAGGAGAAAAATGATCCACATGAAGATAAACCTTTAGTTCCAAGAACTGCTGTTAGTTTACAGAGAATGAAATTAGAGAAATTAATGAAAAATCCTGTAAGTTTAATCTATTTTCTCTTCATTATTCGTTTATACGTTAAAGCCCATTTGTTTTTAAAATAAATTATTGAAACCATTTACTTCATATTTGAAGGATAAACCAGTTGTAATACCAGAAAGACAGAGGGACAAAAAGCTTCCTCATGTTCCTGATTTCGTTAGGAATGTCATGGGATCCAGTGCTGGTGCTGGGAGCGGAGAATTCCATGTTTATAGACACTTACGAAGAAAAGAGTATGCAAGACAGAAAATTATTCATGAGAAAGGAGAAAAGGTATAGTTTCTATATTGTATACATTTTTAAAGTATTATTCAATATTTTTTTTATTTTAAATAACAATATAATCAATACTTGTCTCCTAAGAACTAAGTAAGAGTCACTCCACTAGATTTATCAGACTACAATGTCACATGAACCTCCAAACATAATAAAAAAAAAAGGTTCTTGGAGCAGGGAAATAAGTCAGAATTAAAATTGAAAATTAAGCTCATGGAACTAAATGGCATCATGCCAGGCCGATACAAGAAATTAGTTGATAATGTATATATCTTTGTTTTTGCCTTGTGTATATCATATATAATATTATGTTTATATATATATTCTGATATAGTCCTTGTTTCAATTGTATAGATCAATAATGTTAAGACACATTTGAATTTTACTTATTTTTTTACTTTCTAACCTATACTAGGTAAGGAAAGTATTGCAATCGGGTCAGATTTCCGATATGCGGTTCTTGGCGGATCTATACGTTTCAGAGCCTCCTGAGTTCAAAAAACACATTTTTAGCCATTGGTCTCTGTGCCAAGACTTTCTCGGGAACTCGAGTACCGATTTTGTTCCTTCTTTTTTTATTTTGTAGGGTTTTGACTACCGATGCTTGTGACACAAATTGGATGGTCCATGCACAATAGCAGCTGCGCAATAAATGAAAAACATGTTTTTCTGTAGACTGTAGCGCGAAAACGGCTCGAACGATTTTGATTGTCCTTTCAATTTTTGTATACGAACTAAATTTCCATTCAGAAAAAAAAGTTATAAAGTAAAGAAACATGTTTTGGGGCTTAACTCGCTAAGTATATATTCTATGGTGAAATTTATAATAAAACTTTTGAAAGGTAATTAAATTAACAACAAAACAAAAAAAACAATCATCGGAATCGAACCAGTATTAGTGATGATACAACATATTCTATTTTAATTTATTACTTTCCTACCTGTACTAGGTAAGAAAAGTATTGGAATCAGATCAAATTTCTGACATTTTAGCATGTTTTTTTGAAACGTAATGAAAATTCCTTCAAAACTGTATAAAAATTGTTCATTTCGGACAACTATTAATGAAGTTATTAGCTATTCAATTTCCAATGGTTTGATTTACTAAGGTTTATTTATCTTACGAATAAGATGTACTTAATATTAATGTAAAATACATTTATTATAAAAAAAATAAAAAAAAATATTTTTTAGTTTAATTCGTTCTTAAGAAAATCTATTCACTTTTTTTTTTTTTAACATTGGGCAAAATTTTATGGTGTAGAAGCTATGATATTCAATTTCCAAACTTAAGTTTCCTAGTTAATCTAAGATTAATATAAAGTGAGGAAAATATCAGTTTTGATAGTTATGAATTATTTCTCTTGGATGGCAGAGATCAGTAGCCTAGTCCTAGAAAATTCCGTTTTGTTTGTTTCCAATTATATGTAAATTCTGTTGTATATCATTAATATTATATGCCAATTTCTTCTATATCATTAATAATTCTATAATAAATTAAAAAAAAAAAGACATCAATTAATATTTAACTGAAGTATGGTCATTTAGCTCAAAATATTTGGTCCAATAATAACTAACCAACTGAATGATCTCTTAAAACTTGGATGTACTGAAGAAACATATCTCCTGAAAATAAAACACCATAATTATGGAATATTCTATTTTTTAAAAAAGATTTAACAGTGAAAAAAATATACAATCAGTCTGATCAGGTGGATAAGTTGAGCTTAATTTTTTAAAAAGACATTCTTATTATTTCATTTGCAAAAAAAAAGACAAACATAAAGAAGAAAGGAGTGTCAATTTTCAATTGACCAAAGCAGGATATTTTGCTTAAAGTATAAAAAATTTCAAACTCTTGGAAATAAATTTTCACCATAATTATTTTTAGTTTTTCTGAAAATCTGAGTGATACTTTCTAGTAATTAGTTTCTATAAACCAAATTTAAAACAATTTATAAAGCAAAACATATATTTATTATTTACTTGTGGGTTCAAAAATTATTGGCTACATTATGATTATAGTGTTTATAATATTACAAAGCAGATAAAATTGAACAATTTTTATTCTGATAATAAGAATGTACATAGTTCTGTCATAAATACTGTTACAAAAGTTGAACTTTGTTTACATCCTTGGGTATTATTTAGATAATCCTTACCTCAATCAGGTTATTTTCTTTACATGTCAGGATAATAATCCCAATTAGTTTGTATTTTTCTTTTGTTCAGCTAACGTGGAGTGCGGTGATAAAGAAAACCGAATAGCTGTGATCGCCTTGCACAAAGTTGGAAAATGTAGATCAGAGATTTTCAACACTTTGAAACATTTGGGCATCAGCCGTACGTTCATGTATCACACCATTAAATAGATATGAGACCCTATATACAAATAGATGAGAACCTATCTGTATGTGACACACCTCGAACAGGCCGAACGGAAAATACAGTGAGAGCAGTGGCTGCTCGAATCAGAAGTGCTGTGTGCTGCTATTGATGACTGGCCACGGAGATTAAATGCCTGTGTCAAGGCAAAAAGGGGACATTTTGAGTAATTTTTTTTTCTATAGATATACAATAGAAAATAATTTTACTCTGGGACAAAGTCCCTTTAGAATAACAAAAAAGTAAGAAAAAGAAAGAGAAATAAGTAGAGAAAACATTAGTTAAACATACTATCTACAAAAAAAAAAATCTATATCAATACACTTGAAACTATGCCAATTCACTTAAAACTACATACAGTGGTATAACATAAATATACACTTTTAGAAAAAAATAAATTAAAAAAGCCGAATCTGATAGTAAAAATTTTCTGAGTATTTAAATGGTGAATTATATGTAAATACATCATTATATAAATCATTATGAATAATATGTAATTAAATCATATAAGGTTAGCAGGTATCTGACTGTTTTTGGGAGAGGAATTGAAATAGGAGGGTTTTAATTGTAGATAGGCAGGGGGAATGTAGAATTTTGATAGGAATGGAGTTCCAGAAATTAACAGAGCGAGCAATAAGGGAGTTTGTATACATTTATACATATACATTTTATTTTCTAATAAAGTTTTTTAAAATTAATTTTTCTGTTCAAATCTGTATATATTTCCTTGTAACAATATTTATGACAGGACTAGGTATAAAATACAAAAAATTCCTATTCCACATATTTTGATTACTGTTTAACTGATTTTGCAGACACTACTAGATGAGGAGTACCAAAGGAAACTGGAGACCAATCAGAAACTTGCTGAAGAAAAGACCGCTAAAAAACGTGCCAAAAGGCTAAAACGGAAAGAAAAGCTTAAAAAAAAGAAACAATCAGGTTTAGGAAACTCAAATGGACCAAAAGAAGACTCAGGAAAAGATAACAGTGATTCAAGTGCCAATAGTTCATCTGAAGATGAAAGTTCAAACAAAATATAAAGTTTTAATAGTGAAAGAATGAGTTGAGAAAATCAAAGAAAATATTCATGTAAATAAAATTATTTCTTAAAAAAAAAAAATGGTTTTCAATACAAAATATCAGTGTTTTTTTTACAATTCTTAACCATATTTATTTTCAGACACACTATTATTTTCAAAATATGTTATTAAAATAAAAGACATTGTGTTCTGTTAAAACCCAAAAAAAGGTAATTGTAAAGGTAAGTAAAAATCATTTGAGGGACCGAAACATTAAGCCTGGAAACATAGCCGAGCTTGTAAAAATGGTTTTCTACGCTTGTGTGCGGCATATTTAGGGCCATAGCAATCTCTCTCACTGATTGGGTTGGATTTTGATCAACAATGGCCTTAACATTGCTCGTTTCAATTTCATTTAGGTGACCAGACCGTTGAGCATCATTGATGTTAAAATTTCCTGAATGAAATTTGGCAAACCAATTTTGATTGTCAATAAAGCAACTTAATTAGAGAAATATTCTTTCTTTCTTTCTTAATCCAGTCCCCTGTTACCGCTGAGCAGTGTGAGGTTCCTTCTTATAGAGCCTGATCCACGAATCTCTATCCTGTGCCAGCTGTCTTCTCCTACTCCAGTCCATTCCTCTCCTGTCAAAGGCTTCTTTAACTCCTTCCCATCTTTTTCTTGGTCTTCCCTGTGGCCTCCTTCCCTCCACTTTGACCTCGTAGGTAGTCCTGGCAATTCTGTTTTCAGCCATTCGCGAGATATGTCCAAACCACCTAAGTTGGTTTTCTTGGATTATCTCCTCTGCAGGCCTCAGGTCCAGATTACCTCGTATGGTCACTTTCCTAACGCGATCTCTTCTTGTTTTCCCCTCTATTTTCCTTAGATAGCGCATTTCCATAGCTTGGATTTGGCTTTTGTGCTTGGCAGTGAGGGTCCAAGACTCGCTTGCATACGTCAATATAGGGAGGAAAGTGTTCTTAAAGACAATTTTCTTAGTGGTCTTTGAGATTTCCTTTTTGTCTAAGAAGCCTGACTTGAGGGAGTAAAAGCATCTTCCTGCCGTCTTAATTCTCTCTTTAATTTCTCCATCCATCCATCCGAACTCGTTAAGGTGAGCGCCCAGGTATTTAAAATCCTTAACTTCTTCCAGGCGGATTCCACCCAGCCGAACGATCCGGTCTCCTCAGTCCCTTCTTCTCCCGATCCTCATGAATTTTGTTTTCGAGATGTTAATTTCCATGTTTATATTTCTCATCTCAACTTGAAGGATCTTGAGGTTAAATTGCAGATTACAGCAGTCATTTCCGAACACCACCATATCGTCAGCAAAAGCAAGCACTGTATACTGGACGCTCTGTAGGTTCCTATATCCGAGGTTGTATGGCCTCATTTTCTGTTTTGCTTATTTTAGGGCAGATTCCAGCACTAGTATAAACAAGAGGGGACTAAGGCTGCATCCCTGTTTGATTCCTTGGTCTGTTATAAATTCTTTTGATGTGTGGTTGCACATCCTAACTACGTTTCTCTGTGTTTCATATATACTTAGGATGGCTTTTCTCAATCCTATATGAACGCCATACTCCTCCAATGCTCTTGATATATCTGCCTTCTGCACCCTGTCAAACGCTTTATTTAGATCTACAAAACAGGCAAAGACCTCTGCTCTTTTCTATAATCTTCTCGGATATCTGTCTCATCGTGAATATCAGGTCCTGTGTACTTCTGTTAGGCCGGAAGCCATATTGTTCTTCCCCTATCTTTTGTTCTATGATGCTTCTCAACCGCTTTTCGAGCACCTTACAATAAACTTTGTAGGGGATACAGAGTAGGGATATGCCTCGATGGTTCCGACATTCACGATTATCTCCTTTCTTGAAAATCGGGATTATGATGGAGACTTCCCAGTCCTTTGGGATAACTTTATTTTTCAAACTACGTTAAGGAGGTGCTGCAACATTTCAATTCCTTTTAAACCCACGTTTTTCAGCATTTCTGGCGCAATTCCGTCTATACCAGCCGCTTTTCCCAGCTTTAATGAGTTTATGGCCTCGGCAACTTCCTCTTCTCCGATGAAGTCGTCTTCTTCCCAGGTGTCTTCTGTACTGCTAGACTGTTGTTTCGCTTCCATTTCCTGCTCTTGATATGTGAGTAATTCCTTGAAATATTCCGCCCATCTTTCCATAATGTTTTCTGGCCTACTCATGATGTCTCAATTTTTGTCCTTGATGTGCTTCAGCACCGGTTCCTTCTGCTTCCTCATGCTCCTGAGGCTTCGGTAGAAAAGTTTCTGGTTTTCCTTATAATTAGTTAGAGAATAAATAAATAAAATAAAAAAATAGAGAAATATTAAATGAAATAAATATTACCTAATATAAAGCAGCCTAAGAAATAAATTTAATGTTTTTAGGGGGGCGATGACATCATTGGCCGGGGTTGCTGAATGTCTAAGGTCGGCATTGTTTAAACTCATGATATGAGCAAAAGTGGTTTTTGCGGTGAACTAACGATTCAAAGTTATGAATTATTTTTCTCCATTTTTGATAAAAATGTGAAATTGATAGTTAAATGGTCTATATCCATCTCCCTTATGTTTAAAAATAAAAAATAATGTAAACTTTTTAATGCAACAATGATCATTTAGTGTATTCTCCAAAATCCATTTATATGGCCTAAGAATATTACTATCCCTTATTACAAATGTGTTTGTGATTGTTGACCCATGAATTATTTTTAAAGTTGAAATACGTCTCGGACAGACAGATGAATGGTTTTAAATCTCAAGTAAGAATGGTGTTCTCTGTATTTTCCCGTAGAAGCATAACCAGCTTTAAACTGAAATAAGTGAAAATTATTCATGTTTGCATTCATGGAAGTATTTATTGCCAACCTCTGAATGAATATTTCTGTTTTCTTTTTTTTTAAAGTTTATAGAGAATGTATTAGTTGCTAAGTGTAAAGAATAAGTTATTCCTGCTGTTCGAAGTACAGACAGACACAGTAGTAAACATCCTCTCTCCCGTCACCAAAAATTCATCCTTTGACCTTTTTTACAAGTTGAGACCCACCTACTCACAGTTCATTCTATTATATTTTAAGTGTTGAATAAAAGAGGTAACTTTTCTAAAAATGAACTAGTGAATTATATTTTACTATCGCAGTAGTGAATCATTAAATATGAATTGGTGAGACAGTATAGAAGTGAAATATCTGTTAACAAAGCTCAATTAGGTAAGTTTGTTTAAAGCTATGGGTGGGTTTGATTTTACACTAATTTGAATTTTATTTATATAGATATGAAACAGAAGACCTATCAATCCTAGCAACATTGATAAATTAATTTACATTATTTTAAAAATTTTGAAATAGATCATGTGTATTAAATTATATTTTACTTAATAAAACATCATTCAATAATAAAATGTATTGCATGTTTTTGTAAATAAAAGTTTAAGCGTTTATAATAACACTTTTTAAAGGTTATTATGAACATTTACTTCAGTTAGTATACTTTATTAGGCATTTTTGTCAAAATTATTGTTATATCTTAGCTTTATCATTTTACTCCGAGCCCGAGTTCAGCTGACAGTTGCGGTGTGTTCTTCTTTCATGATTTATAATTTTGGTTTCCTGATTAAGTTGCAATAACCTAATAAGCAATAAATCATCAAATCTTCAGCATTATTCTTAACTAACTTGCCCACGACTTCAATCGCATTGTCTTGCGAATATCTATTCACTATGAGTACCTTGTAATGCCACAGAAAGAAAGAAAGTGTTTGAGTTTTAACTCTGTTTATGTTAATTCTCATTGGATAAACAATATTGTCGTCTTTCTGTATGGTGACATATCTTATAGATAGATAGATAGAGAAATAACTTTATTTTGGGACAAAGTCCCTTAAGAACAACAAAATTTTATAGAACAAAAGAATACTTCTGGCCAAGAGATACATTAAGTAAATAAAATATCTTATGTAAACTAACAAAATATAAAAAACAAACTGATGAAACTTTAAACAAAATGCTTAGAACTATATACAATACAAATAAGAAATAGAACAAATCACAGTTTAGCTACAAAAAATTATAAAAAGAAATAAAACAGATAGGAACAAAAGCACTAAATAAAATATAAAGATTTATATATTCTATTTTGGTAAGAATCAAAACATTTATAACAAAAATAGTAAGAAAATGAATAAATTAAACAACTTTAAGAGCCCAATTGTAGAACAGAAATGACAGGGTATAAAAAACATATGTACAAGTTCATAAGTACACATAAGAATATACACAAGTTCATGAGAAGTAATAAAAATATATATATATATAAACTTAACTATTTATTGGGAATAAGGTCATTTAATTTATATATTATAAAAATATATATACATAAAATATGTTTTTTAAAGAAAGTTGGTTAGCCCTTTTCTGAAGGTTTTTAAATAGGAATTGGAATAGGGAGTTTTAAAGTTGGATAAGGAGGGAGCATGGTGAATGTTTTAATGGTAAGAAATTCCAGAGATTAGCAGAGCAACAAAGGAGTTTTGGAAAGAGGCAGATCTGTGAAATGAGGTATTAAGGTCAGAATATCGGGATCTCTTGATATGAGAGTGGACAGAGGAATTGAATTGGATATCATATGCAGATTGTTGATAATCTGATAAATAAATGTGCCTAGGAAATATTGTCTATGGAATGAAGGGAGGAAAAAGCCTCTCAAACTCAGCTTAATGGTGGGAGACATGGGAACGTCTCATCGGTCCCACTGACAAATCTGAAAAAGCTAATATATTTACAACTTTACCTCGTAAGATTTTTCAAACCCACTCTTAAATGTACAGAGCATAATTATACTTAAAATAAATAAGCAATTAATGCTTGAAAAACAATTTTGGTTTTCATTTCTTTTAAATGCCTTTGAACTGCTCCTCCCACATCCTCTGCACCCTAGAGAGTCGCATCAGTTGCATTGGCATTATTAACAGATTGCCACAAATCAGGAGAGGTAAGCTAAATTTTCTCCCTCCTCAATAAAACCCAACATTTTATAGCAGCATTTTACTTCTAAATAAATATCATCTCAA